CCCTAAACTAAACCCTAAGCCCTAAGTAGAAGCCCAGGAACTCGATGGGGCCCAAGATCTTCCAGCGATGTTGGAAACCCTGGTGCAGCAGCTGGGCTCGTGCTGAGATTGCCAGGGGGTCTAATGCTCTTTAAAAGGGGTACTACAAGGGGTACTATAAGGGTTAGTGTGAGGATTATCGTAGTTTTTCTAGAAGGATTTTGCAGGAGTCGAGGGTTCATGGTGGGATTGCCAGGGGTTTAGTGCTTCTGTGGGGTGTTATAAAGGTTGCTTTAGCAGGTATTACAAGGGTTGCTGTATGGCTTACTATAAGAATTGTCGCAAGCCTTTTCTGTGAGGTTTCTCAAGGGTTGCTATGGGAGCTTTCATTCAGGATTACTATAAGGTCTTACAGGGATTTAAGAATCTGGAGTGTCAGGGTTTAGCGTTTTAGAGCTCGGGTTTATGGTCGGCCTATGGGTTTGTACCGAAGGGTTTTTTCAAGCGGTTTCGGGGTTTTCGGGGCTCGGATGCCAGTCTAGGGATGTCTAGGGTGTAGGAGTGTCGGGTTTAGGATTCGCGGGTTCGGGTTTATGAGGGCTCTTATTTAGGGGTTTTGCCATAAAGCCAATGCAGTGTCGATGCATGGTGTACAGTAGACCCCTGATGACTGCACCGCCCTTATGAATTATGTGTTCTCCGATGACCATGAGAAGATGACCCAGATTAAGCCCCTTTGCAACTCTATCCAGGCTCCAAGCCCTTATAGTAAACCAAAGAAAGCTGTTAACCGCATTGAGGGCAACAAGTGCTGGATTCCCTATACATTAACGGTAAGAATTGAGGCTATTGGGTTTCCAGCTGTTAGGCTTCTACCAGAATCCTAAACTGCAAGCCCGACAACCCCAAAGCCCTGACACCCAAAACCTGGAAATCCCCAAAAACGGAGAACCCTTCAGACGCCCAAAGCGCTTTGTAGGGCCCTAAACCTTGAAGCACCGAAAATAGTTAGTCGGGATTGTTGTTGAATTGTTAAAGAGGCAGAGACGACTCCTCCCGGGGGTTTACTTGGAGGTTCATGGCTGGTTAT